ACTTTTCGCACAAATATTTTTTAACTTGAAAATGGTGCCAGGATGACACCGAAACGTCGTTGCTCAGTTTTTTCGCTAATCTTTATTGTTAACTGTATTATCATATTTCCCCCAAATAAGTTGTAGGTCTTTCTCATGCTTTCCTGTCTAAATCTTGACAAAATATCCACCAGCACGTAAAGAGTTTCTTCGCAAAACAATATTTCAAATGTGACTCTTTTTTTCTCCGAAATCGCGTGATTTTGCATACTTTTGTGACTCAGTTACCAAATTTGGACAAGGTATAACGCAAGCCTTTCTTGCGTGATCCTTATAAAAATAAGTTTCCATGTGTGGAATTTAGTAAAGTTTAAGACAATCACAAAACTATATGTGTCACTTTGTTTTTCTTTAATTTTTTGTTGTAAAACGTCGATCCAGAACAGTTTTGTCCAGCGAGCTATCAATTGCAGTGGATGATGAAGTAAAAGCAAGATGTGCGTGGTTCAAACCACTCTTACCTTTCTCATGCCTTCCCCCATTTTTAAAGCTCCATACGTAGAACTAGTACCCAGTTTCTCTATTGCCAGCGCGCCCCACGTGGGGATGGAACCGGAACCCATAGTCGAAATTAGTCAAATGGACCACCCCCAGGGGACAAATTGTTGTTCAAAAGTGATTTAATGCCCCTATTGTCCCCTACCCTTTCCCGGGACCCAAAGGGTGGGGATTTCCATCATTGCACAAAAAAGCCAACAAAGTGCTTCAAAGGTGGCGTGTCCTTGCCTTTTATAGGATCGCTCCGTGTTTAAGCTCTCTATAAATATTCATTGCGCAAATTTTCCTTGGAACAAAAGTGTAAAGCATCCCCTTGGGAAGTAATATATCAAACACGAGAGGCCGTAGCAAATACCGAGAAATTATTTCTTAATTGAATGTTGATGAAATTAAACCCCAACGAGCAGCGGAGTATTTTTGACGAACTGAAATGTTTGACATATCTTCACAGTCGATACTAATTAAGACCAAAGAAAACAGCGGAAAAAAAAAATCGTCAAAATCTATACTAATTAAGTCGGATATCGAAACAACATCACGGTTATAACTCCCTTTGTTTAAACTTGATGAACTATTATGACAATTGGAGAATGACAAACATCATGTGAAAAATTGTGACATGCATCTATTTGCTGTGATCACGTTTCTTTTCTTTCGTGAAAAAAAAAAATGGTTTCTTTGTTTTTCGGATGTCAATGGTCATAGGCCGATTTTCAAAGCAGAAACGTCGTGGTACCATCAAACCATTTTCAAATACACGCTTAAGAGGCAATATGGTATGAAATGTCTAGACAAATGAAAAAACAAAGACATTTCTGTGTCAATGTACTTTGAAGTTGTTGTACTTTTTTCCTTCTTTTTTAGGGAACTCTTCAACGATCGCTATCTGTCAGTGGTGGGGTATCGCTTGGGGGTGAATGTAGTTCGAGCGAAGGAAGTTGTTACACAACTGATACTTCGGTATGATTGACAGTTATTTAGACACAAACAAACAGACAGAGTCAGCCAGTCAGTCAGTCAGTGAGTCAGTGAGTCAGTCAGTCAGTCAGTCAAAGTAGGTTGGTAAGTCAGCCATGCATTCGAGCAGTCAAGAAATCAGTCAGTCAACCAATTAGTCAGTCTGCGAAACAGTCAGACAGTCAGTAAGTCAGTTAGTACTTCAGTCAGTCAGTCAGTCAGTCAGTCGGTCAGTCAGTCAGTCAAATTCGGTTGGTGAGTCAGCTAAGAATTCAAGCAGTCAAGCAATCAGTCAGTCAATTAGTTAGTGAGCCTAACAGTCAGGCAGTCAGTCAGTCAGTGATTCAGCCAGTCCATCGGTCATTCAGCCGGTCAGTCTGTCAGAACGTGAGGGAATCAGTCAGTCAACCCACCGGTCAGGCAGGCAGGCAAGCGGATGGCCACTTAACAAATCTTTACTATTTCTGTCCGTCCGTCTTCCTTATGCGCGTCTGGCCGTAGTTCTTTTAGTCTTGACTTGATCGCTGTTTTCTAAGGTTCTCATCTCATTAACTTCCCATTAACATTTCAGATTAATCTTAGATCCGACTGGGGTACAACAAAACCAATATTGAAAACAGGAGCTAAAATAGATATTAAAGTAACGCCCAAGATTTCCGTGAAAGTGCCCACAACGCCTACAAGGTTCAAAAATGGAGCAAAGCGGCCGTCACTCATCCGTATACTGGATAAGCTAGGTAAGAAAAACAAATTCCAGCTGGAAGTTTTGAATTATAGTTAATTCTGCCCCGTCCTTTCGTTGGCCATGTATAGGCGAATGTCGTCAGATTTTCTTTACTTTGTCTACATGCCAATTCCACGTTACCTATTTATTCCGCTAGAGATTCTGAGTTAATTAATAGAAGCATTGTGGAAGTCAGTATTCCTTACCCCAAAAAGACAAAATAATGACAGCACTCTCGAGGCGAACGTTAACTCACTAACCACTAGGCCACTGCGCCTTTAAACGAAAAGAAAACTGGTAATCTTTAAACGCCACAGCAGACAACTGCCACATATATGCGCGAGGTAAAAGATTTATTATATGGCTTTCGAGAGAATTTTACTTGCGGGAAAAGGTGGGTAGTCCCGAACGGGCAAAATAGCTCCATCTTGCCTGCTGGGGTTGCTTCATCTTGCCCGTTCACGGAGTTATCCATATAATAAGTATCGTTGTTAAAAGATGGTGAAATGCTTTTTTTCTCTTTTTCAGTTTTAAAAGTGGCTGATGTATTGAAACTTTCATTATCACTGTATGCGACTTTGCCATTAAAAGCGGGTATATCAATGACTTACCCTTCCAGTCAGTGTCGGGGAGAAACACCGGCCGAAATTGAAGGCTCTTATGGAATTTCCGACCTGAGTTTTGGTTTCTCAGTTGGTTTTCTTGGGAAGCAATTGCAAAAGTCCCTTAGTACTGGATTTTCTCTAATGAAATCGACTAGGTAAGATCAATGGCGTCTTGTTGAGCAAAATTCATCGTAGCAATATCTTTTTCATCAGATCTGTGGAGGCGCTTGTTTAAAAACTAAGGTAATTTCCTTTCCGACGCCCTAGTCCTACATTCAGACGAAAAATGCGTCTGAAGACTCCTCTGCAAAGACATCTGTTAAGCCATCATGATTAAGCTTCAAAACAGGAAACCATTATGAGTAGATGATCATAGATGTGAGAATTTAGCATTGGCACATCCCGGGAGTGGCGATTCGTCCATTGTTTCCAGAAATAACTAGAATTTAGAACTGCTGGGTTTTTGTGGAGGAGAAAATCCGGTAAACCCGGTGAAAAATCTTCGACAATTTATGGTATAGAGTTTTATGAAGTAACGTCAACAAACTGTCAAATTGAAAATGAAATTTAGGCCTCGCGGTTTGATAAATAGTTACCAACGCCCGTCTTTGACTGGTCAACAATGATCCAAACCAGCAAAAATGAATACGTTTTGCTTGAAAGAACTTACATTTTGTTTCTGGTGTAGTCTTGGATATGATGCGTTGTTGTCTTCTTAAAAATCTCGCTGGCATTGTAAATTTTAAGAGCTCGCAATTATTTGATTTTGAAAGAAACTTACTAATGTCGCACATACCTATGGAATTTCAGGGATTGTATCTGTCCAATTTCCAGTGTTAAGGTAAGCTAACAAAAAAAGTAACACTTAATTTGACTACGAAGTTTTAAGTGGAGCAATTTAAAGATGGACGACATATTACTGAACTTGGTCTCACTACAATTGCAAAGTCCAAAGTCCTTATGTAACGGACTGGGCAAAAAATATCTGCGACATTACTTAACATATCAATTCGATGTTGCCGTACGTGCGTTCAGTAGTAGATCACAGATGGCGTCAAAATACGTGGTGGGAACAAAAAGGTGGCACGCCAGGCGACAGCAGAGTGTGTCACTGATTGGTACTTTTTGACGTCTCCTTTGATATGTTACTGAACAGAAGCACGTTTACATGGAATCTATTTAACAATTAGATTATGAACTCGAGATTTCTATGAGGTGAAAATAAATCATAAAAATCGAGAGTGAATAATCTAATTGTTTTAGTAGAATTCTAACTGAAATTTCCTTCAAGTAACGATTCCAATTATTTCGAGTTCTTAGTATTAAACTTCAGGCTTTAGAAAATTCGCGCGGACTGAATTGGCAATTGGACATTTGCTATTGTGTAAGCACGCTTATCAGTTTCTTTCAAAAATTTCTAGCTTTTTTTAATTCAAGAAACCGTAAATGCCCTTCTCTTAGTCTACTCAGGAATTTGATTACCCATTTGTTTCTAAATGTTCTTTCAAAACTTCGGAGAAACGAGGAAACGTTGCAATTTTGTCGACCACGCCAAGCCACTCCACTCCAATGGCTGATAGTGTGCAGTGGATCAGCCAATCAGGTTACAGCATTTGCATTAGTATACTAGTAGCATTCAACTAATATTTTTTAGTCTAAATTTACTAGCGTTCTGTCACGAATGCCGTTCTCTGATTGGCTACGCCACTCACTATCTGTTCCGTTGTAGATAGTGAGTAGCGCAGCAGTGGGCAGTTGTGTACAAAATGAAGGCCGCTTCTTTGCGTTTTCAAGGTATCTGTAAAGAGGATTTAGATAAAATTTTGAACGACTAGTAGATTTGTACTAAAACAATTAGATTATTCACTCTCGATTTTTAGCGTGATAGAAATCTCGAGCTCATAGTCTAATTGTTAAATGTAATTAAGAAACCAAAAAAATGTTAATGACGTCATCTATGTTTGCGTCTCTCCTCTAATAGATCATAAATAATGACCAATTAAAATTCGTGAATAGTTTGACTTATTATATAAATTACCATAGCAAAGACAGATATTGGTGAGCCAGTTTATAAAACTTCAGTTAGTGAACGATATTTTCTTAAGCCCCATATCAGGGATCTGCATGCAGTTAAGTGTTTTGCATTTTGCTTTGGATAGATATGTGTCGGATCCTCCTCAAAGCCACCAGCTCCGAAGCCCCCTGTAGAAAAATCTCCGAAACCTCCTGACAAGAAGCAGCGGAAGAAGACTGCAAATGAGTATGTGTCTTGGCTCATTATTTCGTAACCCCAGGCAGGCCACAGAGAGAAGACTAGGGAAAGGAGGTGGTAGGGGTGGAATCAGAGTTCAGATTTTCAGATTAATCGTTAATGAAAAATATAAATATAAATATAATGGTTTCCATAACGGGCACATTTTCCAAATATTGTATTTCCCTTTATTCACAATCAGAGTTTCAACTTAGAGTAATAACTTGCGTTAATTTTTTTATACTTTGGAGTCACGTTTAGGTAATCTCTAATGTGAAAAAAGTAGACAATAAGAGTGGCGGAGTACTGAAACATGTCGGCTGTTTGAAATATCAGAAAAAAAATTATAACCTTTTGTGAAATGTAATATCTAAGGAATAGCAGCGTATATTTATATTCCCGTGCTAAATATTGTGTAAACTCGTGGTGAGACCAAATAGTCAGGCTTTTTTTTTTTGCTAGAAGGATTGTGCTATGAATTATTTGTCGTTTCAGAAGAAGGGTTTCACGGTTCGGCGCATGTCTCTAAATCAAAATACTTTTGTTCGCCTCTTATCAATATTATCGCTTTAGTAATCATATGCTATGGCTAGTCGTCGTGGGAGAATGACGGCTGACCAAAATTCTCGGAAGATTTCGGTGGATTTCATAGACGTTGTCGGCTGTTGAAGTTTAGTTTTGACCGGTACGATTTAATATACGGTTGATGATTTTGCGGCTATTTGCATGCGAAATTAGGTAATTAACTTGCCTACGATTGGTTTATAAATATAGGTAATCATACACGGTTTTTCTCGTTTAATTTGGAATTAATTTGCACTTGTGAGTTTTTCAAAAAGCTGAAATTGCACTCGCGAAGTGCCTCGTGCAACTTCAGCCTTTTGAAGAACTCACAAGTGCAAATTAATTGCAAATTGAACGAGAAAAACCGTATGATTACTTATGAATGATATAAACATGAAAAACTTCGCGTGGAAGTGCCGGAAGATCTTTCTTGAAGGCTTTTTTTTTTTTTTTCCTGTTCGGGAAAACTTTTTTCAATGTTTCCGCACAAAATTCAAGTCATCATTTTACGGGATATCATTGGCTTAGAAAATTTTCTATTGTCTTACAGCCAATCAAAATTCAGAATTACGATGTGTAATTTGCACTGGTGTTACACTTGAACTGCGCTGCTCTCAGCCAATTAATATCGAGCAATTTTTTTTCATGTATATTATTAACAATGAAAACATGGCTTGTGCCAAAAAGCGTGCACGGCCGAATAAATAATATAGACATGCCCTGAACCGCGAAACCCTCCCTTTGAACCAACTGATAACCTTGTTTTCGAAGGAAATTATGAAGTTAGAATCGCGGAATGGTTAGTGAAGTTTTCTTCCAGAAGGCAACGAGAACAATGGATCAGCACCTTCATAATGCACCTTTGTGCAGCGTGAAACACCCAATTTCCGAAGTTTTGTTTCCGGGAGCACATAGCCCTACTACGGCTATTTTTTTGTATTTCTATTTGAAATTGAACACATTCTTAACATATTCAGCAAGAACAAGTTTGAATTTTTTTTTTTTTTACAAATTTATACCGTGTATTTATAAATTTTTATCTTGTTTTTTAAATTATCATGTTATCTTGTATTTTTTTGTTTTTTTGATTATTATATTTTTTAGTCCAGGGCCCCTCTGGATATCAGCCTCGCTACTGAATTAGCCACCCTGGCTAAATAAAGATTACTTACTTAATTTATCTAGACACACTGAATAGATCTAGATAACCGCGAAATTGTGAGGTAAAATATGAATATATTTCTAATAGTCGCTCTCCTCGCCTTCGTTATCTGCGTAAGGTCCCTAGTCCGGATTACATGTAATAACATAGAAATATTGCTCATCAGGTTTTGGGGCAACCCCAATTGATGCGGTTAGCTTGATTTCCATACATAGACATTTGGGGGAGATAAATGCTGTTTCCGAGGAATCTTCGATTTAGGACAGAATTTTAGTACATCTTTGATGATCGGTTTGTTCAACTGTATGTATTTTTCTATTAAGTTTGGTGTTGATAGTGCGACAATCTCAATTAAAAACCACTCTATGATACTCTTTATTATTTTTGTCTGTTCAAAGTCCTAGTCAGGGAAAGAACCCGGGACTTGAATGTGGATGTGGAACCTGTGTTGGAAGAAGAATGGGACCTAATTGCACGCAACCTGATATGTACCCCAATCAGGGTATGTAGAAAAACAAACTATGTTCAGAATATCTGCCCTTAGATTATGGACATACACTTCCTTGCTGTTAGAAAATTCGATGCTAAGATTTAAGGATGAGTCCTATCTTTTCAAGCTTTAATTCACTGAACCTTTCAAAAACATGCGACCTCTGCATACTCAAGAAACAGTGGCGTTATTTTGCTGCCGTCCTCTTGAAACAGATATTCACTAAAAACAGGCTCAAAAGGTCACATTTGTGGGTTTTATTGCTAGATTTCGGCCCATTTTTAGTGCGAAGTCCATTGGACGGAGGACTATTGGGGTTGGAATATTGTGAACGAAATGCTGGTGCCTGATCGAAAACGTGGCCTTCATTTGTCAATAGTTTCGTCAGCTGGACACAACATCATAATATAGACATTTTAAAAGAGGAAAACAGCAATCTGTTAAACTCTTTATTGTTAATAATAACTCCGTTAACTTCGTGTAGGGGTAGTTCAGGACGCATATGAACTCCCTTGCAGGGTAGGTGAGGCAAGTGGCCCTTTTCAGCTGACTTTTGCGTTCTCAACAGATGGACAACAACACGCATTTGGATAGCACAAATATACTTTTGGAAAACGCTCATATCCACTATTTTCATAAACACGATCTTTATGGCGTTCACCTATTTATTAAATGAAGTTTCCTGACTTTGCACTTTCCGTTCGGAACCGCTCGTTCATGTTTGTTGTTTTCAGGGAACGTTTGTTAATTGTCGTCGTAGTTACGATTTACGACAACCCAAAATACAATCGTTTGCACACTGTCGTCATTTGACTAGAACTACCAGAATTCCATTCGTTTTTTTCGTTATAATTTAAATTTTGAAGTCCCAGCCGGGTTTAAATAACAATAGCCCTGGTTTGGCATAAGAAAAAGAAAAAATGAAGGATTCTGGTAGTTACAGTCAAAATGGATGCCATTATGCAAATCATCTATTCGAGGAATTATGTGGTTGAATAATGTCACTGCCATGTTTTTGAACTTCTGAGATCGTGTGTAAGTGACAGGTGTAGTAAATATCTGAAATTTGAAATTAGATTCCGCAGAAATGCTAATGGATTTTACTGACAGACAAAATGTATTTAACTTGTGTCACATAAATGTACCGTTTGGAAGAGTAGTACTGTGATCCCTTTAATTTGACAGAGTGCTCGGGGAATGGAAAACCTGTCATAGCCCCGCGGTGTGGAGCAGAATGTGAGTGTTTCGGAGGATGGGAAGGTGAATATTGTGAAAGAATATCTGCAAATGGCGGAGGTGACCCGCATCTGGAGACCTTAGATGGTAAGAAGGACCGTTTTTGTTCAGCGATCGATCGATCGATCAATCAATCAATCAATCAATCAAACAATCAATCGATCGATGGATCGATCTATCCATTAATCGACTGGTCAGTCAGTCAGTCAGTCAGTCAGTCAGTAAATCACTCAATCAGTAAAGCAAGCAAGAAAGCATACATCCAGCCCACCTTCGGACGACGAGCTAAACCACACAAATTAACAAACCAAGCAGCTAAGCTAGCAAGCTAGCAAACAACCTAGCAAGCAAGCAAGCAAGGAATCAATTGCTCCATGGATCAGACAATCAATCAATCAATCAATCAGTCAAACAAATAATCAATCAATCATCAGACAAGGAAACAAGTAAAGCACTGGGAGCAAACAAAATTTCCCAGTTGATTAACAAGTTAAAAAAATTGAAGAACAGAATCTACCAGAATTGATCGTGGTATGAAGTATTTGCAAATAACTTTCAAAAGTAAACGACCCTTAGATGTACAATAGAAACATTACAAGTTATATTACTGTTAAAACAAAAAAAGTAATGCATCAAGCTTGAGTTTTTTTTTTTGTTTGTTTTTGTTTTTATTTTCTGTCCTTCCAGGAGTAAAATTCGATTTTTTCGGAATTGGAGAATTCTGGGGATGTAAAAGTGTCCAAAACGACTTTGGGCTTCAATTTCGCTTTTATTATTATGAAAGAGCGTCGCTTATTGGAGGAGTTGCACTTAAAGCTGGGAAGAGCATAGTGACAGTTATGACGGAAAAGACTGAAAACGCACAAGATACGCCCATCCTCAGGTGTGTTTCATTAAATACGCATGCTGCTAATGTTACATCGTTCCACGAGTCTTGTTTGTTTTCCTGTTACTTATTTTATTTATTTATTTATTTATTTATTTATTTTGTTGCACAATTTATTGAGGTTTTACTTCCGTGGCGACACGAGTTTCACGGAAGTAGTACTGGAGAGGTTCGACTATAAATTTACCGTACTTTTCGTGTTAAAGTCGCGTTTTTGATGTAAGCGAAATTTAGTTGTCCTTCGTTTGCAGGATACATTTAACACACCGAGTTCTTTAATTTTCTTCTGCTCGGACTATGCCTAACGTGTATTGTTACAGTTTGAAAACTTACATTCCCACTATCCTTCTAGCGTGCGCTTTTACGGACAGATTTTTAATCAATCTAGGTAACATTTATTTTCTTGCATTCATATCCAAGGTTTGGAGCTACAATTCCAGTGACAGTATTACTTCTGTCCTTTTTTTCCAACAGAATCGATGGAATGTCAATAAATATCACTAGCAACTCTTCAAAACCTATCGATATCAACAATGGAACAGTTTTGTTAGATCGTCAGAGGCGCTTTACGTTTGAAGCTGAAGAGAACAGTGTTGCGCTGATTTCACTGCAGTACGATTCAGGCGAGTATGCAATATGCTGCTGTTTCGAGAAATATTTTCGAAACAAGGCGCAAAATTAAGTGTACGTGACAAACCCGAAAGTTAGTATGGGTAGAAGTAGCTAGCTGCGGCACACGCTGAATACTTCATCAGTTATAACAACATGGCAAACGTTTAACGTCATTTCTTTATCTTCAGACCTTTAGAAGCAAGGTTCTTTTCCCCACATTGACCTTTGGAAGTTTTTTTAAACCAAAATTAATGTAACATCAAAATGAGAAAAAAAAAAAAAAAAAAAANTGAAATACAAATAATTTGTAGATCTCGTCTACACCAATATGCAAAATTCTAATGACTACCCAGACCGCCATTTGGACTTCACGAGTAGGCTTGACGCTTTCACCCGACAACCCCTCTAGAAACAGGTGTATACAACTCATGGTTCACTGATTGCTTTACATGCAAATAATCAAAGATTTTCCCTGGTCAATCGAATCATTTCGATCATAAATTATACCAGTGTTACTTCATTACTTTACATCAACTTGTGGCTAAATCAAAACAGACTCTTATACTCTGGCTCCGTTGTATTTTAACCTTAGCAAAAGTGCAAGAAAACAAGGGACCCGCTTAGAGCTTGAGTTGGAAGAGACAAAATGCGTTGGTTGAGCAAGTATTCTTCCATCAAAAAGAATAACACAGGAGCACTATGAGCGAGATTCCGAGTCGAGCAGTTTGCGGAAAATATCGGCAGCTCAAATAGGGCGGATTATATTCTTATCATTACTTGTGAACTGTCAGTAGTCAAGTTAAATTGATCAACAAGAAAATTACGTTTTATCTACCTGAAATGTTAAACTGAAATGCCAAGAAGAGAGTCAACTAATGAATTGTTCGGTGAATGCTGTATGTCTGTCTCATCCTTTTAGTTCCTAGACCGTAAGATTATACGCTAAAGCTTTCTTTAAACGAAATGACATATTGTTTAGTCCTCCTTTGTTTCGCTACGAGCTTGATCAAGTTTGTCTATGATTTGATCGCGATTTCTCTTGCCTATCGTTAATAGGAGTCACTGTGACTATTGACGTTCGACACAGCCATGTGATGAAGAGGCAGTACTTGAATGTTCTCTATTCACCCACTGCTGCGTACAAAGGTCATACTGAGGGACTGTGTGGCTTCATGGACAACAATGCAACAAATGACTTTATGGGACCAGATGGAAATCTTTACAACGACGCTGTACAGTTTGCAGAATCATGTAAGTAGTAATGTTAAAGCAATAAATCGGTGATAAACCGACAAATGATCGGAAAATTCATTGAATCTCTGCGTAGAGGTGAATTGCACTTCGATAATTACCTCCGAGTTAACCAATCAGAGCGCGTGAAAATCACCATTCACTCGTGTGGTACATACTAAACGGTAATATAGCATGGAAAGGCAATATATATCGACCTTATTTATACTACGTTCTGACCAGTATAACTCACTCCTACTGTCTAGGGAGAATTACGGCATGCCATAATGGATCAGGGAAACGTGAATCTTGGTCCTGGAACTCTTCAAACTTTTACCACGAAGACGTCATGGACCTGACATATACGGATCCATCGTATCTTCCTGTTTATTCATTGGACGGGATTCCGAATTCTCTGTTAGAGGTAAGAACGTTTGTTAATGCTGTTAAACACCCGAGATCATTGGCAACCGTACCCAGGGTTTACGTAACTAACTTCTTTTTTCCCTAACCTAGATTCTCAAACGTTGCGTAGGGCTATGCTAACGGGGAGCGGGCTAGGAAAATCCATTGATAAGTGATGAACATGTGTTTTACAGTCTGTACATAGCCTCATGAAAATCGACTACTCAACCAATCAGAACGCGCCTTTAGTTATCGTCGATCCAGTCGTAAAAACAAACTGTGTGTGTTCCATTTTGGAGTCGTAGAAGACTTGTGGCTCTTAAATATTGCCACTAATTTCTGCATATTTTTTGTTTGTTTTGCTATGTTTCGCACAGGTAGCGACAAGCATGTGCAAATCTCTGAACATTTCCGACAACGATTTACATAGCTGTATATTTGACGTCGCTATAACTAACGATACAACATTTACTGATCAAGAAACCTTCAAGCGAGGTAAAGTTTTGTGAATTCAATGCTTTCGCGCTTTAACTTTTGTTGAAACTATTCTTCAATGTTTCTCTATTTGGAATGATCTATTAATTTAAGAGGAGTTTTCATTATCAGTAGTAGTCAGGTGGCTCTATTTCTGGGGAAAAAATGATAGACAACAATAAACAAGCATAAAATATCGAGAAATAATTTCCGAAAAAGACTTGTTTTGTGAACCCTCTGAAATTCTGCATGACAAAGGTCAGATTTAAATGATTACTTCCCACACTAGGAGATCGTAAATATTTTTATTACTTTACTTTCATATTTATCTTGATATCTGCTTCTAACAGATGATGATGCCGGAAGAGAAAGCATGCAAGCTATTTAGTCAAGAAACGTAAAAGATGTTGAACAATCGATGATAATCCAGCTGAATCTTTTCGCTATTTAGATTGTCCAGGACAATGTTCAGGTAAAGGCAGATGTGTCAACGGAACCTGCAGATGCATCGAGGGATGGACAGGAGAAAGTTGTGATAAAGGTATTAATTGTTCTTTTTTTTTTTTTTTTAATATAACAGTGATGAGGGTTTAAACGGAGGTGCAAGTAAAACCCGTCCACTCCCGGTTGTTGAATATTAAAAGCTTTCGGTGTCATGCGGTTAAGGTCTAAAGACAATGGAGTTTGATTGACCATCTCCCTCCACACCCACGGGTGCATCCCTTACCACCACCCCCTCCATTACCAAATCGATGCTGGGATTGAAAGATGAAAGCTCCATTCATAGGGCATTATAATGTTGGAGACATGAAAACGCAATCACTCGTGTAATTTGTGACCATTTCCATGGCTTCTACTTGTCATATGGCCGAGGCCACTTATGATTCACTTGTTACTATACATGTATGCTCTAGTTCTCCACAGAACGTTTAAAAACAGTAGAAACAACTCCTATACGGGTAATTAATAAAATCATCAATTTGGAGCCAGTCCGTTATCTTAGTCTCGCCACGTCAGTTGAATCTGTTGCTTATGTTCTCATCAAATATTGTTCTTTGTCTTTGTCTTTGGTAGGTTCTTGTCTAAACTGTTCCACCACTCATGGAAAATGCGTAAAAGGATTCTGTGTATGTGAATTGGGATGGGAAGGTCGAAGTTGCGAGCTAAGAGGTTAGAAATTCCACACCTTCCTTGTTTCGTAATATTTTAGCCCAGGACTGTTTAACTTTTAATCTTATAATACTGTTTTCTTCTAACGTAGTTCTTGAAGAAAGAAAACAAACAGAGGCAAAAATAAAAAATAAAAAAGCAAACAAATAAACAATCAAACATCAACTTTTTGTGCCAACCGAGACTACTTGGACATTTTCTATATATGACGCCCGTCTGGCTTAGTAGCACCAACAAAAGAATTGTTTATGCGTGCATCAATTTAAGTGTGATTTCTTTTCTTATAGACCGTAAGCTTTGGGTAGATAAGAGGATTAATATACATCCCGGAGAAATATATTAATGGTTTGGGCACTATATGCCAGATTATGCTGCATTATGGCAAAACTGGCACTCAAAAAATTATCTCCCGTTAATCTACTGTTAATTCCACTCCACCATTGTTGTAATAGATTACCATTTGCATTAGCTTTTTCCTATTTTCACAGCTGCGTGCCACAATGTCAACAACTGTACAAGTCCTATCCATGGTGTGTGTAAGGCGACGGACGTTTGTCAGTGCAGTCCCGGATACATAGGTTAGTTATTGGCGACAGTCACAGTAATCTATACTGTAATCGTTCATTGGTTCTGATGCTTCATTACGGTTTTTCTATTGCTACCGACTCGCTGGATGAGAAACTAGTCCATTAGAACTTACCCCCTCTCCCCCTAATTCCCTCCTTCTTTCCAACATGTTGTTAGTATACCCTAGCTCTGTACTCGTCTGCTCTCCCGGGTGGAAAGAGGCGCTGCGTGAGGATTTTAATGAAATCTGTATACCATTACAACATCACAACATGCTACCTTCTCGATACCTATTCATTCATAATAAAGATTCAGCAAGTTATAAATGGTATTATTATTATCCGTAGGTCAAGATTGTAGTGTTATTCCAACATGTTTCAATGTATCAAACTGTACTGGCAATGGACTCTGCGTGGATTATGATGTTTGCAAGTGCAACGTAGGCTGGACTGGAACCAATTGTACGCAGTACTCATGCGAAAACTTGGATTATTGCTCAGGTAATATTGCTTAAAGCTTTGTTTCATTAAACCTTTGTTTCAACCATGCGGTTCATGCTCAATCAGTTGTCATTTACTTTCTTCCTTTCGTTAGGCAAGGTTTTTCCTCGTGTAAGTAATGTTCTAACGCTTTTAATCATGTTTCTTCAAGACCACGGACGCTGCGTGGCACTCGACGAATGCGCCTGTGACTATGGCTGGACTGGAGCGAGCTGCGCGCTTCCTGACTGTACAGCTGTCAATCAGTGTTCCGGGAAAGGAGAGTGTGTTGCAAGCAACTTGTGTCGCTGTTACACGGGATTTTTAGGTGCAAGCTGCAGTGTGGTGGCTGACTGCAGTGAGTTTGCAAACTGTAGTGGCCGTGGTGTTTGTGTTTCAAGGGCGTTACTCAACGTGTCGTGCAGGTAATAAAACAAATATACTTACAATTATTAATGGCAAAGCCAGTGATGGCATTTTGCTTTGTTTACAGACGAATCGAAGGGTTTCCAAGGTAGGAAATCTTTTCTTTCTTGCCAAAACAATAATTTGAAACCCCCAATGATTTGTTTGATTTAGCAAGCGTACATTTAGTACATGGCCTCTAAATCACAATACGAGACAACTTGCAAGTCAAATAGAGCTTGATGGATTTAGGACTGGAGGCACATTTCTCCCTCTCTCATTGCTGAAAAGTGTATTAAAGTTGCCCCGTTTTTTCACCCTTTTCTGCAGCAACAAAGAGCCCACTTCATTACTTCTCCTGTTACTTGACATAGGCTCCCCCCTCCTCTTGTGCTCTTTGCAATTTTGAACACTTCTGGACCTAGTGAGAGACTACTAATGAATTGAAAAATAATCAAGACTTTATTAATTGAAACGCGGATTTTTAGATTACGTAAGAAGAATGTGGTAGCTTATTAAAAATCCAAGTGGGTGTATTTTGTTTGCAGTTGTTACACGGGTTTCACTGGAGCTAACTGTAGTCAACCTACTTGCACAACTGTGAACAATTGTTCCAATCATGGAGCATGCATTGAGGCAGAACTCTGTAAATGCGACATGGGGTACAATGGCACAGACTGCAGCAACTTCTCGTGTGAAGCTGTTAATTCATGTTCTGGTAATCATTTCTTTTGTTTGTTTAATTCAAATGAGTATCTGGATCAGGATGCTAGAATTTCAGCTAGTTATCGGTTAAAATTAAGCACAGAACCTCTTTTTCATGAAAACGGACTTCAGTGTTCAAGTTAAAGAATTTCAGTGAAAACCCATGTGGTATAACCACAAAAAACCGAATTCAGAATTTTGGGTTAAATTTCTGGCTATGAGTTTTTCAGCCCACTTCTCGGGGATCAGTAAATTTTACAGAACGCCGAGCGTAGCTATCAGCAAAAGAAACCTACGTTATTTCTTAGCTGACAGTCAAAATTCTGACCAATTCTTAGTTATCAGGTAAACCCTATCGAGGCCCTCCAGAATTGTTTCAATCATTTTTTTTTTACCTTTTCCAACATCCTATCCATTCTGTAATTGGCCATGATCTATATCTTGGAGAGTTCCTCTTTTTGATACAAGCAATGGTACTTCATTCTGAGATTTCCTTTGTTTTCTTTATCGTTATTCAACAATTCGTTCTAGGGAAGTGTTTGTTTCTAATTACTGACGTGGTCATCAACTCAGAAAGAATACGAGGGACCTCCAAATATTGGGCAGTTTAAACATACTGCAAAGCCAATTCGTGATTCTTGTGAGAATGAATTGTGCACCATTCACATTGTCGTCGTTGGCTCTTTCGTCGATTCTGTAAATTCCTCATAAGCTGCACAGCCGGCAACTGTTAAGCATTGTAATATTGTTTTACAGGGAACGGAGAATGTGTTGGATATGACTTATGTCGCTGTAATAACTCCTGGTCAGGTCGTGCATGTAGCATTCCAGATTGCAGTTCTGTGAATAACTGTTCTGCTCAAGGAGACTGTATTCTACCAGATACTTGTGCCTGTTATCCAGAGTTTGACGGTAAATACTGCGATCAGAAGGCAAAACCAAACACCAACTCGCCCAGCTTCGACCAAATATTTTATAACACTACCATCATTGAAAACTCGCCTGTTGGAACAATGATTCTGCGAGTACATGCCAATGATACCGATACGGGAAGAAATGGCCAAGTGTTTTATACGGTAGTTAGTGACAAAGAGGTTGGAAATAGTCTTGCCATTGGCGTTACATCTGGGAAACTTTACATCAGGTCGATGCTAGATTTAGAGACCATTAAGTCACCGTCGTTTAATGTGGCCGTTGTAGCCGCAGACGATGGCTTCCCACAAAAATCGGGAGTCACCATCGTCCAGATAACAGTGGTGGACCAAAACGACAACTGTCCGACGTTTATCAAACCATCTGGAAATGTGCAACTTGAGTTCTCGGTGCTTAATCCAGGTGACACCCTGACTAAGATTTCTGCCGTTGACTTGGACAGTGGAATAAACGGCGACATAACTTATGGCATGTCCAAATCTGCTGCGTTCTCCATTGATCCAAAAACTGGTGTTATCACCGTTACGTCGAATTTGACGACAGGACTATATCATTTGACTGTTACTGCCAGTGATAATGGAGACGTTTCCTGCAAGACGGAGGCAAGTTTAACTGTTATAATCAACGGCTTTCCTACAAAAGAGCCTTTAACATCAACTTGCAGCTCTTCTACTCAGAAGATGCCTGAGACGTTGACCTCTCCGCGTGATACCCAGAATACATTTATGTCCACAGAACCCACTGAGCCGACAGAACCCACTGAGCCGACAGAACCCACAGGTAATCATTTCTGTAATAAAACACTCATAATATAACGTACTTTCTGATTGGTCGTAGGTCTTTTGCCCTGGATGATGCCATGTAAAAAAAACAAAACAAAACAAAACAAAACATGGCCATGGCGTGCCATACAATTTTGTTGACTCTGTTTTTTAATTGGTGTAGGCGCCAGAATCTGTTTCATAACTTCGTGTTTAGTGTTAAGTTTTCGCTTAATTAGTTTCCTTTTTTGTGGCCTTTTTTGCATGTTATGTTCATTTGCATACTCTATATATGTTCAGTTCGCGCGTAATTTATTTAGTTAGTAGCGGTTTGAGCTTCTGTATATGCCTTGTTTTGGAATTGCTCCAGTTTACAGTTCGTCTCTGGTTTGGGGATTCGTCACATCCGCCTTGTAAGTTTCCTCGTCTATTTCGCATTGCCGTTTTTCTGCATTCTTCATGTTCTGTCGCTGTTTGTCAATTATTTCAGTTACAGTGTTCAATCTTCGTATTAAGTGGAATTGAATTTGTATGGCAAGATTTGGATCCATGTGATTAGCGTGTTCGACAACAATTGAAGAATCAAATTTTTCTTTTATAACTGTTCTGAAAGTTTGTGGCCTTTTGAAAGTTTAGCCAAACCCGGGCTGCATGCTAAATGTTTCATCAGTTCGGTTGTGGAATTTGTTTGTTTGTCTGTTTGTTTTCTACGTTAATTGAATCTCATACAAGCTTAGGAATTTGTCCCTTTCAAGTACTGGTTATCTTCTTTCTTTATTTTCTTGTCTTTCTCTGTTATTTAATTCCACATTTAGTCCAAGTTACGAGCACAGCGCCTGGTGGCGAAGTAACTGCAGCGCCACAGAACAGCCCCAATTATGTCATAATTGGTGCCTCTGCTGCTGGAGGAGTGTTGATGCTTGTAATCATTGCAGTTGTAATAAGAAAGTGTCTGTGTAAAACTAGGACATCTCCAGCCAAGCAACCCAGAAATACTGGAAATGTAAATGACTGTCTTGAAGTTGATCTTGAGTTATCCGACATGCCTAGGGTGATATGAGAACTGGCTTGTTGTGGTTCTCTATAACAGTCAGAGACATTATATCTTTCTTGTAATAGAGATTAAGAACAGTACAAGATCAGTGGCGGATCCAGACCTTGAGCTAA